GCTTGCGACATGGTATGCTCAGATTGAAAAAGACCAGATTTGGTCATCAAGAAATTTCATTTATATTTCTGGCCTATGTCCTTGGAAACTGCAATATAGAGAGAGTATCTTGAAAACATCATGGATTTGAAGTTTTGGTAAAGATAAACCATAACAAATTTATGATAAACTTTGAATTTATCTTTTGTTTATTGCACTTAAATTCATTAAAAATATATATTTCAACACAGTATGTGTCCCTAACATGCCATAGAGACCCACTTTCAAATAATTAAGATTCCAATTTGGATGTGCCATACATCCTTTTCTGTAGAGATCTGTAGATTAAGAACAAAGCCTTAAATTTACTGTATGACAAGACCAAAAAAGAATTCTTAGATATGAAAGCCCCTTCCAACTATTGCAAAACTTTAACAATCTGCTTTCATGTACGCTATTAGGAGAGAAAGAACAGAAATCATTGCAAAATTTTAACAATGTGATACAACTCAACTCAATTGTCATGCTTTCCTATTTGGATTTGCATAAGCGATGTGCCTTGGCAGGTCAACAGAACAATCATGGATTACATGTGAAACTCAAAAAGGAAAAGGGAAAAAGAAAACCAGTTCCCTATTCAAAGCATATCTTAGCTCCTATGTATACCTGCTTACAGAACCCTAACAAAATTTAACCACAACTGGGGAAGCACACATATAAAGCCTGCAAATATACAATGAACTGCCAAACATTTATTTTTCAAAACATTCAAACCGAATCTCATTCTTATCTTGCCAGACTCTGAAACGCACAAACCATAGAAGTATGCCTGCCTGAGATTTGTTTCTAGTGGAAGATAGGGGAAATTTTTAAAGCAACAATGATCGACATTATGATTTGTTCCCATGAGCTGCCATAATAAGAAACAGAATGCAAAAACTGCCTACTTCTTAGTAAATGTTTCATATTTCTCTCCAGCCTACTCATTGCAAATTTAAGCGCGTAAGTTTCTTGATAGTTCCCTATATTATCCTATGTAGATCAAATACCCATTAGATCACTATAGTTATGTACGAACTTATCCTCTGGGATCTACATATAGGCCTACTTGCTTTTATAACAGCAATCCTCTCTATGGCTTTACAAATCAAAAGTTCACATATAAATCAGAAGACTGTATCTGTTTGCAATTGGCCAGGCAAAAAGATCGATTAATTTAGATGTCAACTACCTAAAGAAAAATACCATATGAAGTGATAGAGCTAAAGCTACCTCCCTTCACCACCTCCAATGGGGGTGGTCTACAGGGTTCATAACTACTCCTACTACTCCACTCTTTAAAGACTTGTCAAAGCAGCAAATAATGCAGTAACCTATGTGATCTGCTCAAATGCAACTGCTTCACTCA